TTTTGTATGACTGCATATGCAGTAATCGCTTCCAGTATGAGATGACGACTGCGGATATGATAGAGGTGCAGCCTCCACACCTATACAGAACGACAATGATCACAGCTACCGTGACAAAGGTCTCACACTATATGATTTCCAAGCGAGCTCCCATAGAATCCGGCCAGACTATGTCGTTAGTCGCTTCTTCCGTCCGAGTTTCAAATATGTACCGTTTTTTCGATGTTAGTTAGTGAAAATCAATACACATTAATGCATAGACAATGAGCAGAAGTGGTAAATAATAGCGTAGTACGGCAGTATCCTTGATGTCTCATTGTAAATTTTAATGCAGCGGAAATCGATAAGTAGTCAAAATATGCAGAACTATTATAAGTTTGTTTACAAGCTGAATGTACTTCGAACGCAATTTGTGAGATGTAGTTCCATAAGTAAAGAAGAAATCTGTCGCTTTATTATTCCGTTCGCTTCGTGAGCCAAGCACATGAGCTTTCACTCTTCTGAAGACGCACTTGATGGATACACGATAGGTATCGATAAGAATTTATTATGATTCGGAAGCATTTGAGATAATCTCTTGCAAGCATCTTCCAAACTCTCCCAAGACCATTCGCTCCATCTCTTCAACGACATTATTCGGTACATCGGCAGAACATCCTGACAGCTGAAGAGAAGTGTTTATTGGATTTCATTTTGTTTCAGTAGTAATCAACTCACCGATTCTTCTGCTTGAGCGACAAGACATAACGTTGCAGCTTCGATGACTTCATCTGTCATGTAGAACCAGGGGTAACTACAACGCAATTATGATAGCGAAAATTTTTATTTTGAAAAAATGAGACGTACGATCTTGGATCGTTGCGAACTATCGACGACTCTGTGTCGGAATCATTATCAGATAGTGGAGATGGGGATTCCGTGGTGACAGATGAAGAGGAATGGGCTAAGCTCATCAAAGCAGAGCTGGTTGTATTCATCCTATGATCAAATTGATTTCTATATTTGCATACATCTCACCCTCTGATTGTTTTAGTGGGAAAAAGTCACAAAAATAACACTTAGAGACAGATTTGTGTGAACGGAATGTTGCCCTAAAAAAGATCCTAATTTGCCGTGTTTGCTGTATTCTGTAAAGATATTGCAAAGGAGCGAAAGATGACAAATGTTCTTTTGAATCCGGAATACATGATATTCGAAAACTTTTTTTTGTTCCATTCCACTTTTTGAAAAACTCCTTCTTTATGATGCAAGAAAATAACCTGTCAAGCCTGCTAGCTCTGTCGCCTTCAGTGTTTTGACAGCCTTGACATTTACATCGACTTGTGCAAGGCACTTTAGCCTAAACAACAATTAATAGAAGAAAGTTACAAGAATCTTCCTTCTAAATCCTACGGCTTACCTCAAAGCATTCACAGTAATTCTTAAGACATCCGCTTTTTTTACAATGACAGCCCTTCTGATGCAATCTCTCAGCATCCAGCTTGCCACTTTTAACACCTACAAAATCAAAAAGAAGATAAAAGAATAAAAGTGGAGAATACTTTATGCATTAACTCAATTTATAAAATTTCCAAGGAAATAACTTTTGTCAAGAACTTCTAATCTACTCTAGTCAACGGTACAGATATAAATAAACCAAATATAACACCTATTTTCGGTTTGAATGCATTCGGGTTTCTCTCCAGTGATTGTTTGATAGCTTTAGAGCGATCCGCATCGTGTTCCAAATTATTGTGACAGTCTTTGCAATTGCAATCCATACAAAATTCACCATTGGCAAAGCAATCACAATAAAGCTTCAAGCACATTGACTTCGTACAGTTGCACGGCTTTCTTTGCCCGGGTAATGGCTTTCTTAACAAGTATTAGTAAAATTAAGGAAGGATCCTGGTAGTTAAAAAGATACTTCTTTTGTTTAGGGACGTTATAGGTGTGAGCGAATGGGTGAAATATAGTGGAAGAGGAAGAACTGCTAGAGTACGGTTTTGATGCATTTGATGTAGTTTGAGAAAAGCCAATAACATTTGTTTTTTCCGACAATTCCAGAGGCGGTTGGCGTCGGATCTGAATTACAGGAGCATCAGTATACGAGTAAGAGATAAATTTTGAAAACAAACTAACACCGAGGCTGAAATGGTCAGGAGCTGCAGCTGCTTTTGATATTCCTGCGTAGGCATTCTAAACTACGACATTAAAAGTACTATTGAGAGATTTTCGAATTAAGCCAAATTTCGTAACAAGATCTATACGATACGTGCATCAAAGTTTTGTTGTCGATGTGGAAGAGGGAACTGTGAACCAGAATTCTGAGAAGCTCGCTGTGCATTAGTTTCCATTCTAACGCGTTGTAATCTTTGCGATATGGCAGAAGCTGAAGTCTATAACAGGGAAACATTATCTCCAGAGATGAATTGATTTATCTGCGAGTACATTTTAAAGGTATTCAGTCCCAAGTACAGCTTTCTCACAAAGTTGAGATGGGGCAATAGTAAACATGGGAGACAGCGCAGCGTGAATGCTACTTCGTGTAAGTAGTAATTATATTCAGTCAGATGGTGCTAAGAACTAAGCTATGCATTATCACATAGCACCGAAAAAACCAACTTTACTATCTTGAGAGGTGATATCTCTCTCACCTGGGGAGCTACCGCGTGTTGTTCCGCTTGTACAAAAGTCCCATCCTCTAGTTGGACATACTCCTCTTCACGAAACACTTCTGCGTATTCATCATCTTCCAGGTAGATTGGCTCTCCGTCTTCACTGAGTAAAACACGTTCGTATATCTAAACACAAAGCGTCTGCGCTTGCCGTATCGAAATCATTTTTTGAACAGATCATTCCCTCATCATAAACTACTCCCAACCAAATCCACGGCAGGCACTTATCAGTATGCGTATGGCTCCGCTGATAAGACATGCGTAAACGGACCGTTTTTCTACTCAGACTAGCTGCATTAGCAACCTTTGCAAGATGACACATAGAAATTGAAAGAGTTTGTACTTGAAAGCCTAGGTGATGACAGACGCACTGTCCGTGATTCACGACAGACTTGTCCTCCAATGTAGCCTTTTCCCTTACACAACACAATTAGTCAACTATTTCAAACCTCACATGAGACAAAATAGTTCATTCTCGACTATATCACTTTTATAAGTTTGCTAGGCTACGACATGTTCCGCCCACCAAAGAGCATGCGCTTCCGAACTGGTTCGTTCGATATAAATGCTGCGACGGATTGTACATCATATACCACTTCCTAACCTATGCATTATATGAGATGTAAAGATAAAGTGTGCAATGAACTAAACTATTTCTATTTTTGATATGTACCTAAGCTATGCCAAACAACATATAAGCAAGACTTCAAAGATGCATATACAGACTGTTTATTCAAGAGAGGTGATAAAGTAGCCTAGAAGACATATGTCTCCAAAAATTTAGACCGAGCATGCACTCGAGATTCATAAACAATAAAACATCCAGCAGTGAATCAATTCTTGTTTCATATATTATACTCACAAGCTACGCTCATCACATCGCATTCACGCCAGTTACGTCGAGAGACCTGATAGGACTGAATGGTGCTGGCAGCGCACAATGCAATTGAGTAAACGACAAGACCAAATGCAGTCTGTGATTGTGGTCGACAAATACGTTCTCCTCACATATAGCAATCATGAGTGAAAAAGGATAGAAAGATAGAAAAATGCTCTTTTTCAAATTGTCCTAGCAGGATAATAGGATAGGAAAATAATCCTTCTAGTGCTACGGAACTACTGAGACATCCTTCAAAAAAATCCACTAGTTTCCAAAAGGAAAAATAAAACTGCAAAAATTGACTATAAAATGTAAACATTTAACTCCATTGCAGATATGAAGAAGGATGGATGAACATGTTACAACGGCAGTGTTCAGCTACAGTACGCTATTTTTAAGGTAACCTATATGTGCCTTGAACACCGCAGTACAAACATTGTCACCTACCCCGGCACAGGCTGTTGACGTTTCCCCAACGATTCATGTTTTTTTTCTGAAATCAGAGAACACAAGATACTAGATGTCGCGCTCGTACCCCTTTTGCATCGCTGCACGTAAAAGCAACTTTATGCAAAAGATATAGCTTTTCACAGACATCGCTTCAGAAAAGGAATTGAAAATATCGAAACTTCCACTTATGCCGTAGGCGAAGTCCTCTCAATCCTCGAAAA